GGCCCCGGTCTTGGGTCAATTATTTTTAATGAGAATTGGCAGGGGAGCGCGGCTCGCAGTCCCAGCCAATCAGAAGTGAGACTTGGGGGCATAGGGAGCCACCGGTCTCAGTCTTGGACGGATTCTAGACTTCCACGTGGTATCGCAGGAATTTGGGGAAATGTGTCGGCTTTAGGTGGCTGGTATTTTGTAAACGAATCTCAGAGGTATTTTGGATATCGGACTGTAAACCAACGGTATCCCTAACACTTGAAAGATAGAAACAAACCAATTTGAAGCCGCTGAGCCTGAATATCATATAACGGTTTCCTTGACGGGAAGGGTTCGTTTCCACTGAAAAAGTGCTTTTCATATTCGCTCTATTTTGCCAAAACAAATGTAAATAGAAACATTCCATGCATGCGTTTCCCGTGCAGGCTTTTTCAAACTATTGATAAATTTCCCTTCCTGGGAAATTATGCAAGGGAAATGCTTGAGAATTAGGTTAATAATGTTGTGTATTAACCTCTGATATCGTCGGGGCAAACTTTGAGGGACAATTTGCACATGTGGCACTTACAAAAAAATCTGTCAAATATGATACTAGATATAGATGCATTTTTTTGGTTGCTGATTAAAATGTGTCTAAAGTAACTATATTATGTCTCTACAACAATAACATTAATAACAGTAATCATTATAACAGTTCACAGTAACGTTTCTTAGCTATGAGCAATCGACATGAAATGGACATCGCATCAAATGAAATACACACCGCTATACACCCTCCTGACAGGCCAAGTATAATAGTGATTTATTAATGTACATACACCATACATATTCCATTATTCAAGAGCCAAGTGCCTTATTATGGACTTTTTATGACTTCGGGTTAATAACTCAGAAAATTAATTGCAATATATTATTATTCTTTTGTAAACAGGGGGGATACTGATATTGACAAGCACCATAAACTGACACGATATACATTTGAAATACAAGCACCACGGTTGTACACATGAATCAGTTAGTAGATCCCTTTGATCTTCTCATCCGTACAATCTCATAATCCTTGTAAAAACATTCATAATTCATTGTTCTATCACCCTGGCGACAAAACCACGAATGATCATTTGAAATATTAATTGTTCTAAAGCCAATAATTCCATTAATTCTGTTGCCTATACAAATGAAAGACACGATTCGCTCAATTTGAGAGGCATTCGCTTGTACGTTGCAGTCGCGCATGAGGGACTGAGTTGCTCAGCTGAGAAAATATTCGTTAATTCAACGTCATCTGTGAATGAGATATCGCTAAGAGAGAGAAAAATCAAAGAAAATCTTCTGCACAAAAATAATGTGAAATATGATTCTTTAACATTTTTCGCAATCTTTATTTTTTTATGGAATTATTTAAAGAGAAGAAGAAAAAAAGAAGTAAAATCATTACGATTTTAAAAAAACCCACAAGTCATAAATCACATTTCGCTTTGCTGATAACAAACTGGAGGATTTCAATATTAATTTGACATTTTTTTCATTCCATGTCTTATTATTACAAATTGAAGAAAAGGATTAGAAAGGAGAAATATTAGTATAATTTCTTTAGTAACATTACACATAATAGAATATTTTTAATAATGTGTGATGTTTTTTATTTGCTTCATAATTCTGTAAATAATTCTCTAACTTCATATTTCAAATGATTGATAAGGAAAATAATAATTCACAGAATGAATTACGAGACGATATGTACTATAACCATATTATTTCAGAAAAACACAAAACTGACATTTTCTAAAATACATTTCAACACCATCCAAATAAAGTATATAGCGAAAGTGATTCCTTCGTGTTACACTCTTGTGTTGAAATAGACAAATATGAGTGACGTAATGTCAATTTCAAATTTTTAAAATCTTGATAATTGCATGCTGGTGACAAGCCAAGTCAACACGTTGTCAATGGAAGCGACACGTTGTCAGCCCAGTTAGAACTGCAATCGACATGTCTACGTATCAAGTTGCCAGCACGGTTACTCAGGTTAGAGAATGGCAAAATCAGGTTGACCAAATCTGTTGAAATTGACACAACCCGACAGGAATGATGCCTTCAAAATACGAATGATTGAACGGCTCTGAGGAACACCACCAGATAATTTGGACGAAGGTGATAATTAAACTAACCATCACTGGGCCGTCTTCTTGTATAGCGACCCCGATTAGTTGCAAAGCTCAACGCCGCACCCTTGTGTGAAGAGTTGGCGAATTAGGGGCAGGGGCGACAGGTTGTTAGGACGGGCTGGGCAGAATACTGCCGCTGCATGGGTCCGTTTGGTCAAACTGGACACCGCTTTGAAATGAACATCTTCCGTATTTGCACCCATAATTACACAATGATGACGCTGCTCAACATATTGTTTTAATCAGTATGACTTTTGTGTTCAATATTTTCAGATTTGCACAAGGATTTACAACTTTACGTGTAAAGTATATTTATGAATTATGGTTTTGTTATTTTATTTGCGTTTTATTTTTGATTAATATTGTGATTGAATGTCGTGTGAGATAAACCGTTTATATATACAAAACAATTACGAATTTCGAGTTATTTAAAAAATACATCAATTAAGTTTTATTGGAATTTATTTGTAAATGTAGATTACTATGAAATACACCTGTTTCTGTGCGAATGTACCACTAGCTTGTTTATACGTTGTCATCTCATTGTTACACTCGGTATACAAAGTACCAGCGTGGGTAGTCTCTTTGGAATACTGTTTGATTTGATTCGGAAAGTATCCAAACTTTGTATCAATGTTAAACTGACGTAATTACTTTCAATGCGTTCCCTGACATTACATTTGTTCAAAGATGTACTGTGACATTCGAAGAGAACAAACATATATGCTACCTGAAAATATATATGTAATAATGAAACATAACAAAATATTGGTCGACCTGTCATAATATTTAGTGGAATATATGATTTCTAAAGAAGGAAACCACTTACCCCATATACTACAAATACTACATGCAAAATACTAAATACAAAATACTACATAAATATACAAAAACGCTACAATTGGAATAACACCTGATAGGTATGCCGATATACAAAACTGAATACTTTAATTTTTATATCAATAAAAATACCTAACAAATGTTACGGATAAAACATGAAATATATATTTATATACTGAAAGGTATTTAATAATATGTAAAATAATAATTGCTAACATATTTCTTTTTTCTATGATAATTATATAATATACTATTACAGTTGTATACATATAAAGCGGAGAAATATATAAATAAAAACATTTGGTCCCAGACAGAAAATATGCGATGACAGTGTTGCGTTTCTTACAGTGTTCATATTTCAACAGGTAATATTTCTTGTGCATCGTGTTGCTATAGTATCACGACTACACGCATAAAGATGCCATTACAAACCTCTTAATCCACATGTTGTAACTGAACAATTTATCGCACAGCTGTTCCTAAAGATAAAGTAAATAATATAAGAAAATTGAGAGAACAAATCAAAATCCGGTTATCTGTCGACAAAACACTTTACAAAAGATTAAGCAGTTTAAAGAAAATGTTTTCGGATACTTCGTCAAACCGGATAAACATATGACCATGGCCTTGGGTTATGGGAAGATTCAAGCAGCACAAAAATATTTTGAGAGATTAGCCTGTTAAGATTACAGCGATCAAATGTAACAGAATAACCCTTGCAATCTGTTTTCATTATGAACAATAGGGCAATTGAAAAGTGAAAAGTCAAAGATGGTTTTAACAGGATATGGCGAGTGCTCCATAGGATTTTCATTACAACTTGTTCCCCATGTCCTTCGGCATCGCCTAAGAGCAGAAAGGCACCCGCGTTAAAAATTATCACCTCGGAGCGAAAAGACTGTTTCCCCCAGGGGGGCTTTTTGTTTCCAGCGGGGTGGGGTGGGGACAAATTTGCCTTTTTTAGAAACGGGTGCATATCATAGTAGTTTGATGTAATTGTGTCTTTGGTATCTGTTGATAGACAGCGTATAGAAAGAACAATAGGCTATCTTCTGCTTGAAGGGGGAGGCAAATGCTCACACCTGTGTTAGAGGCTACGGACTAGGACCTAGACGCCCGTATTGTCGGATGGGCTGGCTTGTTCACAGTCGGCTAAACTGGTCTTTGAGCAGGTAGCCCAAACAAAGACGTTATTTCGTGAAAACCACAACTCCCCCGCCCCCAAACAGACACAAATCTCCCCGTATGACTAACATTTCATTGAGAGGATCAGGTCGGGTATTTCAAAGATCGATAACAAAATACCGTACGTGTTTGGGCAGGGCATGGAACGTGCATTTATGAAAAATAGACACCGGTATGAAATATACTCACTCGTTTAAAACTCGAGCGTGGCAGAGTTATAACTACGTCCCAGTGCCGGACTGTAAGCTTTGTTTCCCGTCTCGTATCCCGGCCCGGGTTCATATGATGCCACAAGGCGCGTACTGAGTATACCAGACAAGCAGGACGATTTTATCTTAGTTGAGATTCTGCTTAGCAGACTTCTGAAAAACACGCTCATTCAGCGAGCGCTTCAGACCTAAATGGCTGGTTAGAAAAAAGAGATCGCGTGGTTGCTTGAGATATTTTTTATTACCGGTTGAAAGATATGGGGGTCGCGCAATTGAAGTGATGCTGTTAGCCAAGCTGACAAGGGATGAAAAATAACGAAATTATTGACTATAATTGCCGTGTGTTGGTCTAATGAAGCGTGGGGCTCTAGCAGACGACACTATCCGCCATATTGCTATTCCGACCGGCATGTGCCGAAATAATATATTCGAGCAATCAATTCCTAGTTTTCAATGTAAATTTTTCGGTTACTTGTAATCCCACGCCCTGACGAGTTCGTTAGTGATCAAATACTACCTCAATGTGTTCGGCCCCTTTTCGTCTGCTCGCAGGGAAGATTCGTTACCTCGACGCTGATTGGTGGGCGGTGGTCACGTGGTGTCTCCCTACGTTGGGTATTGCCTGATGGCTCGGCTGGTGTGTAAGCTTAGTTTTAATGCATCCTCAGACTCATCAATGGCTGGATGTGGATATTTCCTAATAAGAAAACTGAAATCTTGAGTTGAGTTGACCAGAGTGTTTTGACATTCACCATGGAATCGGACCACGAGAGTGGATATTTATACAACCAACAAGGGCTCGGGTTTATGAGTGGTGTAGCCCATATGAACGAGTCCCTCACGTCATCAATCATTTCTGAGGCAAACATGCGGTATTGTCAGTCCTACAACAATATGCATCCACTTCAAGAAGGGGTTGAGGGTCTTGGCAGCACCCATGGGCTACCGGAGGGGCCGTGTATCGCAGGAAAGATACCGGAGTTCGCTTGGATGAAAGAAAAGAAAAGTGTTCGAAAAAATACGGCGGGCACATCAAATGATCCAGGTATGTGTTGTGACATTTGAGTTGCATGTTGTAACATTAGATGTGCAACTGTATATAATAACGATTTGTAACTGATACCCACATAGCGTATATTTAACGCAGGCTCCGCGCACTGTTCAGTCGAATATGGATCTACACTGTAGGCATTATACATATCAATATGCGCTTTTTAAATCATGAGGAAATTGCCCGTGACAGTTACTCAGATCCGGACATTGACAGCTTTTGAATCTGTCATTCAAACGCTACATTCCACTGTCCTGTTTATGAGGGTTCGAGTTATAGAAGATATTCATACGACAACCGCGAAATGTATACAGGTTTATGAGAAAAACTCAACAAAAAATAGAAGTATTTTTCGACCATAATGTATATTTTATTCATTTGTGTTGAAGTTTTAAACTACTGGCTAGATGAATTATGTTGAATGAACAATGCATATGGGTGTTTCAGTCATCATTTCCTTATATCACTCCGAGCAATCAGGACGATGTAATGTTATTCACCCAAATGTATAAAAAAAATGCCCCACTAAGCGGACATATGGCTACCTTCGATATTCGTATTTCATTCATAGCCTTGGTGTGATGTTTGTGATATATAGGGGAGCAATCGCTGCTAATCGTCTGTCACATGTTGAAATTGAAACCTGTTCTCTCAAGGACTGCTTGATTTTAGTATTTATTCAACAAACTGGAGAATGACAAGGGATTATCTAAACAAAATATCTCAGGTTTCTGAAAGTGCTCAAGGTTAATAACCGTTCCTGAACACACAGAAAAGATGCCAGGTATACGTACTTAGTGCTCCCTCATTCCCGAAGCGGAAGTGGAAAAATCAGCTGAACTGAACAGCTCTCATTAATCATGTATTTTCATAAATCATAAAACATATTTTGACGTATATTTCAAGGGAGAGATATCTATCAAAGGAAAATTGACGTTAGGTTAAAACGAATGTGTCTAATCTTCAGAGTACTTGACGCGTTGACAGCAAACATAACGTTAAACATAACATAAATAATTGCTGATTGACTCATTCACCTAAACCAAAGATACAAAAACGTTAGTTTCTTAACTATCTGTAAATATATTATCTTAAGCACATTCCACGAGTCTGTGACTCACCATAGACAACACAATATGTGTTTTAATGGGACAATGATTAATAACTACCTATTCTTATTCACTCTTATGTGAAGATAAATTAACTTTAAATGATGCAGCTAGGGGCACGTTTTGATAAAGAATATTAAATTTGCATCCATGTTAAGAATCAAACGATTCACTGCCTACAAATATGAATTTATTTAGAAAGTGTTATATCTTTTTTCTTTTCTTTCCTTTTTTTTTTTTTTGTGTGTGTGTGTGTGTGTGGGGGGGGGGGGGGGGTATTAAGTATGAAATGTCATTCTCGGCTTATGATACATTCATGATACTGTTAAGATTAAGATCTTATCTAAATTTCTATCCAGACAATATGAGTGAAATATTTCAAAGTCTGAAAACTATGTGCTTGTATTAAGTATTTGTGACGCTTCTGTCTGGAAGTTGGTAACTATGACGATATGGTAACTGTAAATATATTTTTATTGTAAATAAAAGACTTTTATTTCTTTTAATACCTCTAAAAATGGCTTGTCATTAATCATGGAAAACTTGACATGCATTGTTTACATAGGTTGTGAATAAAGTGATGTCTATTTCTTATCATCATAATAACATGCGTGCGATTATCAATTGAAATGTATTAAAATGTTAAGTTGTCTCTGCTTTCTGATATGACTGCCACAGTGAATTAAATGCAAACTACCACACCAATATTTCATTAAATATGATTACATGATAATTACTACGGGGATATATGTGTGTTGTTGATCATACATCCTAGATCAATACGCACATCATTACACAACACAGCACAAATAAAGAAAAAAGAGATAATTATTATGATAATAAAACACTGGAGACTGACTTAAGTTACAGACACATGAAATATCTGTGTACTGCACATGATGTATAGATAAACGTAATCAATTTCCATCTGCATCAATCCACACTGAAATGAACATGAAATAGATGACACTTCTATCTGCAGATGATCTAAACAATTAACGTCATATAATCGGCATCCGATTATAATCAACAGATGTTATCAGCTCTCTCAATTGAAATATCGTGAACTGGTGGGGTGAAACACTCTTCTTCCTCTTCTGGACACTGGTCAAGCGGCCGGACAAGGAAATTTACAACCCTTGACGCGAAGATCGCCACGAGCAGTTTATGACAGTTTGCCTGCTCATTTCACTGTTAATGCCTTCCTAGTAGGCGCTATGCCGAGTGATAGATGTTTTTGTTATCTCTTGAATTATATGATGATTATTTGTTTATGTTACGTTACACAACAGCCATAAATCTAGGAAACACTTGGAATGTGGTTTGCAGTTTGGCAGCTGACGGAACGAGACCGGGGTCTGATAAGAATTTCAGCACTTTACGACCCTAATTAATTTGTACTTAGTAATCTTACCTCAAGCTAATAACCCTGTCCAACCCGGGATCAATTGTTGAGTCAATTTTGTAAATAAACCTTTACACAAAACATTATGGCTAATTTTCTTATGGATCGTTGCCACAAATATCCCGTTTTGGATAGGACTTATTTAAATTTGAAACTTATTTTGATACTGTTATTGAATACATGTGTTGTTGGAATATTGACAAAATCTAACGATTTTTCCCAACGCTTTTAAATATTTTTTTTTCATTATGTTGACTACGATTTAACAATCAGAAAATATGTGAATTTGGTAAAATAAATATAACGATAGAACATAAATGAATGCGTTTTAAAGATACACAAGCAATTTTTAAAAATAACCTTTTTATAACATTATCATAACATGGCTTTGTATGATGGTACAAGCTAACTCTCAGTCACCAGGGCCAACTCGCGTGTGAAATTGCGTTGACAATGCAAGTGGTAGAACGCATGAAAGCTCCCAAAGATCACTATGGCGACTATTTAATACAAACCTCCATAGCAAGAAATCACTGTGCTCAAATTGACAAGTCAAGTCACTATGGCGTTCGTTTTAAAGACAGCCAAGGGACTTAGCCTCCAATTCGGGGGGATTTGTGACAATTTTCTCTACGATCAATGGCCGACAATTTGTGCTTAATTGCTGTTAAGCAGTTTACACGGCAATAGACACTTTATCTCCAGCTAGGAGAATCGTTCCCACTCTCAGTGTTTTCCTTCATTACGAAGACGGGAAGAAATAAGCCATGCAAAGAAAGAAATTGCCCATATTTATATTAGTTATTGAATCACACTTGAGTGTCAGAAGCTTGCGAACGTATTCCAATATTTGTAAGCCGAAGTGATGGTAATAGGTCGTCTTTTTTATGTTGATGATGCTGAGAGTGCTGAGAGTGATATTTTTTTAACAGAATCAGGCTTGTAGATTGTGGTCATATTCTCTCTTTAATACTATTTTCTTAATGTCATTTTTTAGCATAATAATGGTTTTAATATCAAACCAATATCTTGCAAACTAAAATTTCTGATTGATCACTGGGTTGAAGTGTCCTTAAAATTCTTAACAGGTCCCAATTTAGGTTGGTAATGTGTTTATTAATTAGGATATAATTATTTAGCAAAAGGTGTATCAGTACGTCCCTGGGTATATTCCGTCTCAAAAACAACCAACAGCAACGGTGTACCATGTGCGTCAATTGCACGGGTTGTCAATGGACACCTCCCAGCCAATCCATCAATCACAATAATGACAAATTAGAGGAAAGCTATTTACAAGCTTATTGAAATACATTTCACACACAACGAGTATTGCTTGATTGCTAGAAAGTGGAAGTGTGACCTGTGATTTCATGCTTATTAAAGCGTTTATACATGTCTATTTCACGTGTTGTAAAATGGATTGACTACGCACACTGGTCAATTACAATGGACAGCAGTATTTCCCGTTAGTGTCTTTTGTCCCAAATTGAATATCCTTGTTGAATATTAATAATTGTTACAGATAGTATTTTTATAGTATGTATCATGGACGAGGAATACTACGCTATATTGATTAGATCAATGTAAAATGAATTAGAACAGTAAGTGGCTTCCTTAAACACCACAACATTTAATACAATTTATATGAAATAGAGGGCCAACATAATCTGGAAGATGCTCCTAACAATCACATTTTTTCCTTGCGAATCTGAAGTGGTGAAAACTTGAATAATCCTAAATTGTAACCGAACACCACAACAACTCCCCTTTGACATCACACCTTCTAAATAACACCACCAGTGAAAACTTCATTTCTTAGATTTATGCATTGGGAGGATAAAATTGACCACAAATCTGGGATGGGATCCGCGAAAACGCTTGTTACAGTTTTGATTTACATGCCTGAAAAGTTCTAAGCTAATTGTAGCGGCAATAAGCGGTCTTGTAAGGCTGTAAAGGGCTTTGGCGGTGAAATCAACGCATAAAACTGTCATTTTTATGTCCCTGTTCAGTCGTTCATCATCTTGAGAGATAACACATCACCGCTCGGAAAGCTTTTTTAGCTTTTAGACAAATGTCTTTATTTAAGACGTGTGTTATATATCTAAAACGAATCCAAACATACTTACCTCACTTACATTAAACATAAGATTAACGGTGATTTATGTGCTGTAGGAGATCCACCAGTCATACATCCTGTATAGTAATCCATAACTATTGATAACACTTTTATTCGCTGTACATTTAATGTTTCAAAACAATGGAAAGTTAGTGTACAATTATTTTTTTTTATTTTTTTGGACTGATAACGGCAATATTGGTTGAAAAATCTCTGAGAGAAGGGATTCTTAGCCCTGACGAACCAGCCCGTGTTAGCTGTCGGGCCGAGGACCGAGCGGCTACTGCAGACGCTAAGCCGATTAAATGATCAATTAAGATGGGATTGGTATTGAGTGGTGCAGTCATACATTTTGCTGAGA